TATTTTCGGGGTCAAAAGAAAGTAAGACCCTATCTTATTTTTGGGGAAACACAGTAATATACTGCATTAATTTCTACTAGTCTGAAATTCATGTAAAAAACCCTGGGCACATCATTATACACAATTTATTTTGGCACAAGCACTTAAACTGGACATCTGGTGTATTGAGATTTTCTCAATATAGGAAAAATGACATTGATTCTGCAATCTGTAGGGGATATTAAAACTCTGTAGTGTTTTAAGTCACTGTAAAGATGGTGGAGACAAATATTCCTTTCCTCTTTGCATTTGGCAGAGCATGTGGTTGGTTATTTTCATAAGCATCTGTTAGTCCTTCAAGGTACTCCCAAGAACCAAAAGCATGAGTATTAACACTACTTATACTATAATGTTACAGTAACAGACTCTTACAAGTTTGAAAGCTTCTACTTCTCTCCTCCCTTACTTTTATTTTCCAGCAAAACTAGGGAGGGTCCTTTGTGAGATGCTTTCTCCCCTCCCATTCCTTCTCTGTACTAAACTATCTCTTGAGGGACTACCGCCTAAGTTGCAAAACCTCCCCGTCTTTCAAAGTTATTCTCAGTCCATTATAGCATCTATACCTCTCCATATTTAATCATGGACAATCCTGAAGAGGTCATCAATTATGCTGTCCCATTCCCTGCATTAGTTATTTAAAAATAATTGTTCTTTTAAAATAAATTCCAATTGAACACATTGTTACTATGTGGGATCAGGTTTAACGCCATCTGCAGAGTCCACAGTGTTGTGTGTCATTGCCTGTATCTTTGGTGATTTGAGACTGTGAATGCCATCAAAGATTATGCCACACACTCCATCATACTCCATCAACCAATTTCATTGTATTTAAGTACAATGACAATAAAGATTATACTTATACTTTGGGTGCTTGGATATTGACATTATATCTCTTGTAGGCTGTTTGCAGCTATTAATGACTAGGCGAATTAATAATGCATTTTTCTCTCCCTCCCCCGCTCTGGCTCACTTTAATTGCTGTAATTTATGTCCCTTGAAAATACTCAGGCTACACATGTAATCCATGCCACTCAGACCCAGAGGATCATACACTCAAGGCCCCAGAAAGTAAACAAACCAATTCTAAGTTTATAGACATCATCTGTAATTGATATCAATTATTGTCCTTGGGCAAAGAAGTTATGGTATTGAAGGTAACAGAGCAAGCTGCATTTATTGGAGCTCTGACAGTTAACTTAAAAAAAAAATTACAACGCCTTCTAACAATGAAAAATGCAGTAATTTAACTCAGAAAGGGGAAAGCAGAATTATGCAAAATAAACAGCTGAGTTTAGGTAATCTTCAACTTATCATCACAACTGGAAAAATTTAGAATTAGAAATTAAAATTTCCATTGCTAAACAATTGTGAAGCAAGATGTCACAATTGTGTTATTTAGGGGTTATAATTCTGGCTACATGGTTGCCACATTAAGGGAGAATTGTGGGTCATTAATCAAAGAGGTCCCAGATAAGGTGTGTGTGTGTATGCGCGTGCACTAAAGAAGGGTGAGGGAGACTCCTGGAAAAACCAGGATATCAGTAGTATCTATCTATCTATCTATCTATCTATCTATCTATCTATCTATCTATCTATCTATCTATCTATCTATCTATCTATCTATCATCTATCTATCTA